ATACTAAAAAATAAAAATAAAAATAAAAATATGCATGTACAATGCAAAGATATAGTAATAATCACTTACTGGTGTCATGCCTTTCCATAGCCCAAATATTTTATCCTGCTGGACAACAGTGGCGAATATGGTTATCATTCGTACATCTGAAGCACTGAAACAAATTTTATTATCAATGAAAATTTATTAAAATAAACCAATAACTACTACAACAAATTGAGTGACTGTTAGTTTAACTAATAGTATAAAATATCCAAAAATAATAAAAACGGCAGCAAATTCACAATAATTATTAATGAATCTTTTATATCAAAGTAGTAACACATCAGATATGGAAAAGAAGTAGTATCCAATCTGAAATTTTTCATCAGAACGTGTTGTGGGTAAAATAAGTTTTGTGGTATAAATTTTAATAGAATAACATGGATTGTTTACCTTTTAAGAATTGCTGGCTGTGGGTTCTGTAGTCTCGTTTTTACCAAATCCAATGGCTGGAATAATATTGTGGAGAAAGTACCCGAAAATGAACCTGCTAAGAAGGCCTTTACTACGGGATACTGTAAGAAAAAAATATATAGATTACGAACAGTGCATTTTAAAAAGTATTTTTAATTTTTTAGTTACTTTCTTTTTAGGTACAAACCACACTTTAATGTTTTATTATTTATATTAGTTGACATGCATTGAGTGTTTTTAATATTTTTATGATTATGTATATGTATAATTATTACGGTTGCTTTTATTTACTTTAACGCTTACATTTTTAAGTTCGATACCCTAGATCTCCGATTATTGCTTTGGGGATAATTTAAGTAATTCATTATACTGTAATGCCTTACTTTACTATCAGAATTATGGATTTTTAAAAACACAAAAAAAATATAGTTGCAAACAAGGAAGATCCGACTGGTACCGCTATCTTATAAATGATGATATACATGCATATGCGTCATGAAAGGTTAGAAATGACGACGAACATAGAACCACATTATTTAAGTAATTATAGCACAATGTGATTAACATCCTTTGTTATGGCTAAGGAATAATTAAAAGAATCTCTATTTCTATCATTTAATTACCCAAAAAAATAAAAACAATGCCTTTGTTTAATAAAATACCATTCGAACTCGTGTTATCAATAATTCAAAAAGATAAATTGTGCTGCTGTTAATGATGCTTTCTTCTGTTAGAGCAGTACAAATTGCAACCTACTATGTACACTTAGAGTGCAAAAGCTATCTTCAACTTTATTTTAGTGCCGCACTTATATAAATCATGTGAATGTATTATATGTATGATATTTTTTATGGAAATTTCAGTAGCCATTAGCTGTCACGAATATAGCATAATGAAAATCCCGCATTATGTGATCAGTATATTAATTATGCTAGGTCACCGTATAACGTGAACAAGCTAAACTTTCGCTTATAGAAACGAACGTTCAATTGGTGAGCAAAGTGTGACAATTTTTAAGATAAAACAAAGAACGGAACTAATCTTTAAAGCCTTTATTTGTAAGTGAAAAATGGTAAGACAATTTACGACTAATGAGGGATAGCTACAATGTTTTAAAAAACGATTTGGGGAAAAATTATTCTCTCAATTAGAACTCGAGGATCCGTTCAAAATGTCTGTTTATTTTGTTAATTATAGATGAATAACATCTACTGCCATTTAATTTAACGTTACTTTTTTTGTGTAAGTAAACGTGGTTCTAAGCATTGTGAATCTCACTTTCTTTTCAATGATATGCAGAATTTTAATCTCTATCCACCCTGTATATTTTTTAATAAATGTAATAAGTACTCACTTTGAGGTACAAGAAGTTTCATCTGGGTGTAGAACATAAAATATAGGCCTGAATAGGGTGCATCCCTAACCAGGGTTGGAATTAGTCCGCACGTCATGCCCTTCAATCCTTCTGTGTGATAAATGTGACGCAACGCCGACCCAACACTTTCATACTGGTAGACGCCGCTTTCGTATCTGAAACAATATACAATATCCATATAAGAAATATACTAAAAATTGAATATAACCGCAAGAAAAATTGATGATATAAGACCAAGTTATTGGTACTACATCGCTCTCTACTAACATTAACTATTCACTCTAGTATTTCCAATGTTAGACAAGGGCCTTACAAAGGTATCAATTTGCCACATTGAATCCATTTAATTATACACGTGATAGACTTTAAATTTCTTTGAAAGTATGAAAATCAATAAATACAAACACAAAAATCTGTTCCTCAACAAACAAATAATTAAATAATTCTTCGCTATTTAACCCCCAGCCCTCACTTCTACTTAGCTATAGTCATAGATTTGTATAGATAGATATAAATAGAGTCAAAAACGCTAAACCGAATTATCATTAAGTATGAGTAGAATCAATTAATCATAAAAATAAATGAAGTTAGGTCTTTATCCAGCAATAATTATCATGATTGCCATTTCTAATAAATAATGATTCCCTCACTTGTGTACATAAATAAACTAACAATAATTAGCATATTTAAATTATTATTACGATTGCTATATTTTTTAATTTTCACCATGCATATACGAGGGTGGATTGATAAGTTTCCGGCCTAACCAAGAGATGACGCCACTAGGCCTACCTTGAGGTGACATTCTATAGTACCATCCTTGGATAGCTTGTAGCTATAGTTTCAGCCCGATCTCCTTGCTAGTGTAGGTTTGACAGCACGCTGAACAAGACGCCTCTGTGGTTTTCGTAAAAATGGAAAAGCAGGAAAATCGTNATGATAAATTATAAAATTAATCATGTATTAAAACTTACAACATATTTAATTTAGAAAATATAATGCTAAAAACATGCAAAAAATACTTACACTAGCAACGATATCCATTTCGGAAAAAAGATAAAATTAAGTACGAAAATCAGTCGGGGAATTAAGAATAAGAAAAAAAATAGAAAGATAAAATAATATCAAATATAGGGGTTGCAATCACTACTCTGATTGCTTTTTAATGTTTCATCGTATCGGAGTAGTCAGAATAGTATATAGGGTTGACACGGAATTTCTTAACAATGAACATAGCCTGGGCTCTCAGAAATGAAGGCATGGAATCTGCTATTTGAAAACTTTTGTCACAAAAATAAAATAAGAGAAAAAAAAATTTAGTGTTAGAAAAGTATAATGCACAAGCTGTTAAGGTAAAATTCTTGATGTAGTGATTTTTGTTAGGACACAACAATAACAACACTGTGAAGAACTCTTTTGAGGACTTCGAGGAAGACGTTGCTTCACGTTATTATCTGTTTGACTTAACACAAGGCACTGATTTATCATATGAAAGGCTCAAATATATATAGCATAAGAGGTCAGGGGTCGGACCAACAGCAAGTTTTATTTACTTAACCTTTGGCAGAAATTGTAACAATATTTGATAACAGTACATCACTCACTGACTGTTTTCTTCATGTTTTTCTGCAAGTATTAAACAATAAGTTTACCAAAAATTTGATAATCACGTACTTGATACAATAAAACAATTTAAAAACCTTCTAAAGAACAGGGGTACTCAACCAATATTCTATACTGTCTCTATATAAACTACAATTTCTACTTTGCACTATAAGAATTAGTTGACAAACTAACTAAAACTAACTAGGTAACTATTGTTGCGCAAAGTGCCCTTTTTGCCTCATTGCGCATCTATGCAAAAGTAAACTTTTAAGATTATTTGTTTATATTTGTTTTCTAAACTGTCATAAAACTTTTCTTGATGAAAACAAATAACGTAATACACGGAAGGGGGTACATATATGTAAGTGAGCACTTTGCGCAAAGCAGTTTCCATAGTTAGCTTTTTATTTGCTCTGTCCACTGCCGACAACGCCTTTTTACACCTTAAGTTGAAAGTTACCCCTGCCACGATTATATCTTTTTAATATTGTTGTTTTAATCATTAATAAACAGCTATGCTATGGAAGGAAGATAAAATTAATGACTAACCTTGTTTTCACAACTGTAATTGGAATGAGTGCTCCAGCACTCATACATCTTGCAACAGCCCCTAAAGTAATCGACTCAAGGGGAGTTGGTGTTCTACCTGGCACGTAATGGGACTTTAGCCAATCTAAAGAGCAGAAATAAAGACCTACGCCTGGTACGCATCTTGTAATAGACTGAAAAGAACAATGAAAATAATATGTAATTATATTATTCAAATAGTACCTAAAACATGAAAAAAGAACTAGTAAGAAACATATGATTCCGATTTCTACATTAAGGTTAGTCACAGTCAGTAGCAGTTTATATTTTTTGTTATTTTTTAATATAATGCAAAGAAATGTTTTACTAATTTATACAATGAACACCCTGTAATTACATTTAAATAAACGCTAAAAGTTTATTGCTCAATATCATCATTGAATATATCACAGGGTCATGTTATCAGCCACTTCATAGAAGTATAAACTTTGAAAAATAAATTATACATATTAAAAAAGGACCATCGTTAAAAATGAAAATAGTAATTATAATTTCATATAATACTTAACTTTAAACTTAATCGAAATACTAAAAAATAAAAATAAAAATAAAAATATGCATGTACAATGCAAAGATATAGTAATAATCACTTACTGGTGTCATGCCTTTCCATAGCCCAAATATTTTATCCTGCTGGACAACAGTGGCGAATATGGTTATCATTCGTACATCTGAAGCACTGAAACAAATTTTATTATCAATGAAAATTTATTAAAATAAACCAATAACTACTACAACAAATTGAGTGACTGTTAGTTTAACTAATAGTATAAAATATCCAAAAATAATAAAAACGGCAGCAAATTCACAATAATTATTAATGAATCTTTTATATCAAAGTAGTAACACATCAGATATGGAAAAGAAGTAGTATCCAATCTGAAATTTTTCATCAGAACGTGTTGTGGGTAAAATAAGTTTTGTGGTATAAATTTTAATAGAATAACATGGATTGTTTACCTTTTAAGAATTGCTGGCTGTGGGTTCTGTAGTCTCGTTTTTACCAAATCCAATGGCTGGAATAATATTGTGGAGAAAGTACCCGAAAATGAACCTGCTAAGAAGGCCTTTACTACGGGATACTGTAAGAAAAAAATATATAGATTACGAACAGTGCATTTTAAAAAGTATTTTTAATTTTTTAGTTACTTTCTTTTTATTAATAATTAAGTAAAATCCATTTCAATTTATAAGTGATGTTACATATTAACAGCCTCATATTAAATATACATTTTCAGTTATGATAGATTATCAAATTATTACTGATGATATTGACCTTTAGACCTCCTGCTCCAAATGATAAATTATAAAATTAATCATGTATTAAAACTTACAACATATTTAATTTAGAAAATATAATGCTAAAAACATGCAAAAAATACTTACACTAGCAACGATATCCATTTCGGAAAAAAGATAAAATTAAGTACGAAAATCAGTCGGGGAATTAAGAATAAGAAAAAAAATAGAAAGATAAAATAATATCAAATATAGGGGTTGCAATCACTACTCTGATTGCTTTTTAATGTTTCATCGTATCGGAGTAGTCAGAATAGTATATAGGGTTGACACGGAATTTCTTAACAATGAACATAGCCTGGGCTCTCAGAAATGAAGGCATGGAATCTGCTATTTGAAAACTTTTGTCACAAAAATAAAATAAGAGAAAAAAAAATTTAGTGTTAGAAAAGTATAATGCACAAGCTGTTAAGGTAAAATTCTTGATGTAGTGATTTTTGTTAGGACACAACAATAACAACACTGTGAAGAACTCTTTTGAGGACTTCGAGGAAGACGTTGCTTCACGTTATTATCTGTTTGACTTAACACAAGGCACTGATTTATCATATGAAAGGCTCAAATATATATAGCATAAGAGGTCAGGGGTCGGACCAACAGCAAGTTTTATTTACTTAACCTTTGGCAGAAATTGTAACAATATTTGATAACAGTACATCACTCACTGACTGTTTTCTTCATGTTTTTCTGCAAGTATTAAACAATAAGTTTACCAAAAATTTGATAATCACGTACTTGAGGTTTAACATGGAAGTTTTTGAAGTAGTAGTTATTGCATTAATTGCAAGAAGCACTACATTAATTATGCAATGTTATTAATTCGTTTTAAACATTTAACACTTACATTTTCTAAAATTTTTTTTTCTTTTTCCGAGGGACCTGCATTAGCCCCCAAAGGATTGAGAACATTATCGCTATTTATTAACTCAGTATTATCGTCTAAAATCAATGCTTGCATGTCCTTTCATTTTCACAGTGTTAGTTTAAACATTAATTTTGGGTATCACTTTGTGGTGCACCTTTTAGATGGTTCTTAATTCTTGCATTACGTCACAGACATGCATTATGTAAAAGAAATATTCACACAGCAACAATATGATTTACAATTACAACCAATTAAAAATTGCCAATCAAAACACCATAACAGGTGAGAAGTTAGGTACGTGATTGTGTCTAAGGTAGAGATGACAAAGAGATAATATCTCGATAACATGATACCTTGGAATATATTTTTAAATTTGTAATAAAATGAGTATCAACTAAATTACAAGTATGTGACATATCAATCATGTTTCATCATTGCTGAAATATGTTCTAAATAAGAACTGTGTACTGATATAAGATTAATTTTGTTTTACAATAATTACGTCTAATAAAATGTTTTCGTTAAATAATTTACGTAGATTATTAAGATCATACGATTCATGATTTTATTATAGAAATTTTCCAATAAAATGTTATCAAAATCGGGTAAACAATGGAAAATAGACTTCGGTCCCCAGCAAATAATTAGTTACTGCATTATTTATTTAAAAGTATCAGTCTTATATGTCAGAGGTCAATATGTTATCGCTCTGCTGGGGGTACCCTTATCTAATTTATACATGCATACATGTATATATATTTCAAAGGAAACAACGATCAATTGCTGAATCGTTAATAAACAAAAAAAATAACTCCTAGGATTTGCATTTTAATTCATTGTAACGGTTGTTACCATGAAATAATTTTTTATAAATTACTTATTCTACCTGTACTGATTTAATCATTTGAGTAGGCTAGAGAATGAAATTGTTATATAGATTTAAAAAATCTCGGAATTGCAATATACATTCATATATCATAAATCTTGTTACACTTACAATTAGTAGTCTTGAAGACTACAAATTAGTTTCAGTTGGTAGATATTTAGTTTGAATATATTTAGTTTCTGTGTATAGGGGGTTTTCCCGCTTTTACAGGCTTAATTTATGTATATCTCCTTATGAAGAACTTGTTAACTGCTGGTTAATAATAATCATAATAATAAATATGTATATTTTAAAATTATGCATATGAAAAATAATTGCTAAAAACTTACCCTAATTAAGAATTCATTCAATACTGATGAGCTATCCATTTTGTATCTGGGGAATCAAAAAATGGAGCACAATAAATTACAGATATTTAAAAGTGTAGTAAAACTTAATTGCAACGTTAAAATGATTAACGTTTTAAAAAGGTATTTAATACTGTGTGAAGTCTTTGTCGGTAAAGTTAATACTGCATAAGAAAATAAGTTACTAAATTAATTTATACTAAAAGGTGGCTGTGTTTCAAAAGATAATTTCGAAATAGCGGGAAAACAGCGTCAACTGAGTTGTAATAATATTATTTGTTTTAAATTAATTTGTGTTCGAGAATTGATATGAAAAGAAAACAATTGGTTTTCGTTAAAACTTTAGGAAAAAGATTCGTATTAATAAAAGTAGTAACCGAACATGCATATTTCTGACAGGAAAAAACAAAAAATGATCTACAAAACAGAGTAATAATTGGAAGAAGTTCTTACCTTTTTATTTTTCCAAACCAATAACAATAAATTAGACAGGCACAATATGCTTAAAGAAAACTATGATATTTATGTATGTGTATAATATGGCATTTACTAACATTTTTTTAAACAATTATTGATAAGATAGTAAATGTTTCTAGCTTTTTTTAATACACACGTCCCCTTATTGTACACGATTGCTGATGAAAAAAGTGATCACGTGGCCACGTAATAATGGTCCCTAACAAATGAAGTGCCAACAAAATTTATAACAATGATGGTGTTATTATTCCTTGTTGGGCATTTTTATTGAATATAATTAGTACTCACAGTAAGTATTCAAAACTATTGTAGTGTTTGGATGCATAACGAAGGAACATGTATCTAAATACATTGCAATAAAAATAGTATTGTAATAGTTACTGGTTTGTATTTTGTTTAATTAGTCTTTTTTTATATGATTCGTTGTTTTTTTATTGTATATTTGTTATTTTGTTTTCTCTGTATAGCTACAGAGGGTGTTATAAAAATTGAAACTGTATTCAAAGTATCAAAATAAAAAGAACATCAATTATCATAATGTGCATAAAACCTATAAATACTTAGGTAAATATTTTTTGTGCGTATTGCAAAATATATTAGATATATGAAGAATTACATGACTTCATTTGGGGGAGGGTAAAATTAAATTATTCTGGTATTTAGATAAGAAAGATTTAGAATTAAGGAAATTATTTTCATTTTTTTCCAAAATAACTTTCGACTCCCAAGATGGCATTATTTGTTTTTCTTCCGAATTATTTTTGATTTTGGTGTTATCATCTTCTATTTTCGAAGTGCTAGTTTCACAATCGGGTTCATTTGATGTTTCGCTACCGTTATTATTTTTCTTCGACGTCATCTTTTTTGCGTAAACGGCAAAAGTGAGGATCAATTTTTCGAACCAAGCTACAAAGCCCACTACAGATAAACCTAAAAAGAATCGATTCTTTCTTCATTAATAATATTTGTTAAAAAAATGTGTATGTATCTATATATCGCAATTGTCGACGTAAAGGTGGCTTTCCACGGCCAGTGATTTTATAGGCCGGGCCGCGTGGAGTAATGCGTGGTGGCGTGTCCGATCCGTCGCGAGTCAGTAACTTCAAAAGCACGACCTAGGCTGACCATACATAGTCTGTCATTATTTTTGATTCAATATATTTTTTTACTTTAGCTGAATCCAATAGTTTTATTTGCACCTTTGTTGCAAGAAGGACCTAGAGATAGCTTTAAATAAAATGGAAGCGGTACTGACAGATCAGTACTGTATGAAAATAAATAAAAGTAAAACTAAAATACTGATATGCAAGGGAAGAAAAAGTAGGGAAAGAGCGAATATAAAGATAGGAGACGAAAAATTAGAAGAAGTGGCTGATTTTAGATACCTAGGAAGTCAGATAAGTGAGGATGGAAGGAGTAGTAGGGATATAAAGCAGAGGATAGCGCAGGGTCGTGTCGCCTTTAATAAAAAGAAGTCACTTCTATGCTCGCGAACGGTTAATTTAGAAATTCGAAAAAGGTTGTTAAAGGTGTATGTTTGGAGCACGGCGTTGTACGGGTGCGAAACATGGACAGTGGGAGCGGCGGAAAAGAAAAGGTTAGAAGCGTTCGAAATGTGGTGTTATAGGCGGATGATGAGGATATCGTGGGTAGAAAAGGTTAGAAATGAAGAGGTATTGGAAAGAATAGGAGAACAGAGGACTCTATGGAAGTCAATAAAAAATAGGCGAGATAGGTTGGTAGGACACCTTCTCAGGCATGAAGGTCTAGTCAGAGACATATTAGAGGCAGAAGCAGGAGTTAGGAGTAGTAAAGGTAGACCTAGATTAGATTACTGTTCGCAAATAGTTAGGGATGTGGGCTGTTCTAGTTTTAGGCAAATGCGAAGTTTAGCTGAGGATAGGAAAGAGTGGAGGTACGTGTCCAACCAGTCTTAGGACTGACGACCTTATGATGATGATGATGATGGAGTGGAACTATAATTTAATTTTTCGGTTTTTATGTTTATTGGAGAGTGAATCCGTTCTATGGGATTTAAAAAACGGAAATATCTAGTATTATTTAGTAAATAAAACTTTACCTAAATCGGCTTCTATTTAATGATATTGTTTTTCCTTTTCTTATTGAGTAAAATATGAACCACTAAACAAAACGAAAGTTGCAACAGTAACTGCCATTTTTTTTCTTCTCGCGACATTTCAATAATACTGAACTCGAGCTTCAAACCGATGAAGAACAAGCTCATACAGGTCGAGGGAACAGCTTACGCGAGATGAAGCCCAACCTGTACTCACCTGTTCCTGCTCGCGTTGCAAAATCAGGCCTGTGCTAATACGGACTGTGGGAAGCCACCTTAACGTTCAATTATGTAATTAAGAGACTTCTTTCTACACAAGGCATAGTTTGATTCATTACCGATTTTGTAACTTTTAAACCAAAATGCAAAATATTCTTCACTCTTTTCTAAAAGACGAAGTGGTGCAATTTTTCAATATTTTTTTACCTAAAAGAAATCCTAAAGAGCCTCCTATATCGGCCAAAAATGCGTTTTCGTCGTATCCAAAACGTTCAACCAATGACGTTACTATTCCAGTACCATAATACAATGACAATGTGGAATCGTAAGGATATGAAACCGCCTTCTCCCCTTGAAAATAGGGGAAAAACATTGTTGTAGAACAAGCTTTGGGGCATTGACATCTCGAAAGGTATTGTTCCAAAAATAAACTGTGAATAAGTCAATAAAAGAGATAACTGTCAACATAATGCTTTCAAAAAGTAAGTCTGTATTTAGGAAAGTGAAAAATACTAACCTTCCAGGAGAAGAATAGTCCACAGCAAGCTGTGTTTGTCTGGCGGTTTTACATTCTGGTAGATCTTTGTTAGGAAGCCAAGGAGTGCTGCATCCAATGTCTTTAGTAATTAATTGGTTAAGGCAAATCTCTTTACACTACGGTGAAGAACAACAGTTTGCCAAAAATTCCTTTTAGTTTAATTTTTCCTAAATACCTATTTACTTTTTACTGTTAACTATTTCTGATTGATTGTAGATACTTCTTTTCTTGACAATTAGAGTATTAAAAATGTTCCTGTATATAATACTTATTTACAGGAATCTTGAATTACATGTTGATACATTCTTTATTTTTATGGATTTACTTATAACTTATAACTAAAAGTACCTTTCCACTGTTGTATCCTCTATCGTTATTGCACCATTGATTTTGGGTAGATAATTTTGTCATGCATGTTACAGTTAATTTGTACTGTAAACCCACTCCCAAATCCACAAAAATGTCTTCCGTCGAATAGGCTCCATTATTTAACTTTTCTAAAATTATAAACTCATCGGCTACTTCGAACCTCTGTCAAACTACCAAAAAATCTGAATAATGTTCGATATTCTAGCTTGATGGCAATGGTCTAAAATTGGTTCCTCCTTATTCGATGAGAACGGTTGACATTTTTAGGGGACCTAGCGAGATTGTAACGCCCTTCGCTGTGGTTGTACTGTGATTCAGGACATTAAGATATCGCTACATTCCTTGAGGATGCTAGCATAGACGTTAATGAAACGTCAGATAAATAATTTTATTGATACTCTCACTGAAGGAAGAGGAAGACAACCAGAGCCAACGAGTTCGGAGGAAGGCCTAATGAAGAGTGTATGGCAAAGTTCGGGTTGTTCGGAAAGTCATTTCGTTTTTTCCCGACAGAGGATTTAATTGTATTCTTTTGCACCCAACTTCACATTTAAGCCGTATAATTTTTATATGCTTTGAGAGCTCATATAGCAAGGCTTGTGTGTGAAAAATTCCAATTAATTCTACGCAGTAGTTTTTGGTTGGTGCCCTTTTAAATATGGAGAGCGATAAGCAGCATTTTCGACATATCTTACTGTTTTACTACAGAAAGGGTAAAAATGCTGTTCAAGCCAGAAAGAAATTGACTGATGTGTATGGAGAAGGTGTGTTGACAGTACGCCAGTGCCAGAACTGGTTCGCTAAATTTCGATCCGGCAATTTTGATGTCGAAGATGCACCACGTTCGGGAAGGCCGGTTGAAGCTGATAAAGACGCGATAAAGGCATTAGTTGATGTGAACCGGCGAATAACAACACGTGAGATCGGATTGAGGTTAAATTTATCAAATTCAACAGTTTATGACCACTTGAAAGGCCTGGGATTATCCTCGAAGCTCGATGTATGGGTTCCCCATGTTCTCACAGAGAGAAATCTGTGTCGCCGCATTGACGTCTGCGATTCGCTTCTCAAACGTCACGAAAATGATCCGTTTTTGAAGCGCATCATCACTGGGGACGAAAAATGGGTTGTATACAACAACGTCAAACGCAAGAGGTCATGGAGCAAAAAAGATGAACCGGCTCAAACCATTTCCAAAGCCGATATTCACCAAAAAAAGGTGATGCTGTCTGTTTGGTGGGATTTTAAAGGAATCGTTTTTTTTGAGCTTTTACCGGATAACACAACGATTAATTCGGAAGTCTACTGTCATCAGCTGGACAAACTGAATGATGCACTTCAACAGAAAAGGTCAGAACTAATCAACAGGAAAGGTGTAGTGTTTCACCAAGACAACGCGAGACCTCACACAAGTTTGGTCACTCACCAAAAGCTTTTACAGCTCGAATGGGATACAATGCTACACCCACCCTATATTTCCAGTACAGTGAAAGGTAGTTTTCGGCATTACTTTCGGTAAGATACATAAAACATTTTAAGTATAAACAAGCACTTGTTAAATTATTGGGAGGTGCAGGATATGCAATAAGCTTTGAGAAATGATAATGACATAAAAAGGTACGTAAAATCTTATGGTGTTAACGGTTTTTGTATGCGGTGTTCAATTGGTACTTTTCGGTTTTATTTTTGACATAACATATAAAATATTTTAAACATAAATAAGCGCTTTTGAAATTATTGGAGGATGGAAGGTAATTACTAAGTTTTGAGAACATATAATAATCTAAAAATGTACGAAGAATGTCATGGTGCCTTTTCGAGTGTGATTTAAATTAGGTACTTTCCGGAATTATTTTTGTTATAATATACATTAAGTATTTAAAAAAGGAATTCGTTTCAAATTTACCAGAACTACCACTTCTCTAATTACATACCACACCATATGCATATGTGCTAATCATTATAAGTAATTTCTTACCTGTAAATACACTGTTCAGTTCGTGGACATAGACGTAAAATCCGATATCCTTTGAGGAATAGAGTGAGTTATCCTTGCCATCACCTGTGTGACGTGTATAAAGAAAATATCCCGACGACGACCCCCAACTCGTGGAATGATTTCTGGGTGATAATGTAAAGCATCGGCCCATTGTCAATGTGACTACGCTCGTCACTGCTATATCTTTTCAGAAAACAAAATAAAGCTAAAAATTTAAAAAGCCCCCGACGATGGTAAAATAAAAAACTAATTCGAAAATTAATTCTTTTTAAATAGTGGGTTCTTATAAAATAATCCAGTTTCGTGATGATAAAACCTGATTGTAGTATGGGTGGAATAAATCATTGCGTATAATGTTTGTTGAGGAGAATCAGGACGCCCCGATTATGAAGCGGTTTTGCCAAATGGTCATGACCCAAAACCTAGCCATGCAACGGAAGTGTCATAACGGAAGCAGAAGTAAATAGTAAATTATTGCGGAAGCCGAAACGGAAGCGGATGCGGATGCGGAAGTCTAATGATTTTAGGTGACTCTCTAATGTCGTGGGCCTTTTCCGCGAATCTTTTGTTACAAATTTTGCATTTAACACTTGCATCGTTAATACCAACAAAATAATCGCAAATGGAACTTCTTTTTAGCTTCAACCTTGCACTTTTAACTTAAAATTTACATTACTGATAAAACTCTTTACAAATTAAATAAACGCTATAACTGTATTACTATTTTCAAAATGAAATTATTAGGAGAACTGGCTAAGGGGGAGCTGAAAGTCCTGGACGTTTTTAGATTAAAATAGCAATCTAATAAGGGAATAAAATTTGGAAAATATCAATATATTTACGAAATACCAGCAAATAGATTTAGGCCCTAAATTATAATAAAGTTATTTGCACAGGGACAATATTGTAGCGACCACGAGCGTGATTGTGTGCGATCGGGCATACGTGTGTGTGAGCGGCTTATCGATTCGCCGACTATCCGCGGGCGCCTTTCTTCATGTGTGCCGTATTTGTAATGTGTGTGTCGTACCTGCGTTCCGGGAAAGCAATTAAACAGTTCAAAGAAAACGAGACTTCTCTGGACTGCTGTAGAACGTTCCCGAAAGGAGGCAAGGGAGTATAAAAAGGAAGAGACGATCGCCGAAGCAGTAGAAATAAATTGACCGTTGTAGAAGTGAATCAAGAGATAAATTGACAGCGATAGAAGTGAAATAAATAGAACAGTGAATAGTACCAGTAGTGTAAACTAATAGAATAATTACCCAAGTTTAGTAATAATTTAATAGTGTTATAGTGTTCAATAGTAATTAGTGTAAATAAGTAGTTTTCTTCTTAAAATTTAACTTGTTAAACCCACGAACTTTACAATATTATTATTAACAAAATTTTGTCTGCTTTATAGCGTTATCGCCGCATTGACGCTAATACTTCATAAACATAAACGGTTGATATTAATACGTTCACAAAGTTGCAAAGAGGCACAACATGCAGCTTTGCAACGGGCAATTCCATTTAAATTGTGTTTTGAAACGGTCAAGTTCAGCCATCAGAACGTAAGACAGAATTTCATAGAATGTGTCAATTCAAAAAAGTCCGCGATGGTATGTCTATCTCTTAGGGATAACCCACAATAACCATTTTTTATCCTTTACTTTTTACGAGAAATAATGGTTTAATTACGAAGCGATTTTAAGCAATACAGCATTAATCCTTATCCGATTAAGTACTTTTAAATACATTGTGCATTTAATATAGATCAATATGGCCCTTTACAGCATGTAATTTAAATGAATATTTTCGAAGATATTACAGGCTTAAAATGCAGGGACATAGCGGTTGCGGCGGTACCGGCCGATTTGTATTGTCTAATGACAAAAAAGCTGTAATTGTTTTATATAAAGACATTCTATAGTATATTTACTAACGGCATTACACCCGTGCGAAACATAGTGTGCAAATAATACCATTAAACCAATTATTTAACCCCTATCCAGGTATGTTTGTGTGTTTGAAGAAGTTTCACTTCAGTAGCGTGTTGTATAATTACACGTTGTATTTTTTTTTTAAACTAATAAATTTTTCTCAAAAAAAAAGATCGAGAAGCCGTCATTAATTTTCTTATAGTTACCGAGTTGTCCTACACAAACGTCGAAATTTGCCCACCCTGTACATATCGTTATCATCATAAGATCGTCAGTCCTAAGACCTCTACTCCTTCATATCCTGAGCTAATCTTTGCATATCCCTAAAATTAATCTAATCTTGGTCTACTTCTACTCTTTCTAACTCCTATTTCTCCGTCTAATATGTCTCTGACTAGACCTTCATGCCTGAGAAGGTGTACTACCAACCTATCTCGCCTATTTCTTCTTGACTTCCATAGAGCCATCAGTTCTCCTATTCTTTCGAATACGTCTTCATTTTTAACCTTCTCCATCCACGGTATCCTCATCATTCGCCTATAACACCACATTTCGAATGCTTGTAACCTTTTCTTTTCCGCCGCGCCCACCGTTCACGTTTCGTACCCGTACAGCGCCGCGCTCCAAACATACACTTCTAGCAACCTACATATGTAAATAATAAAATCCAATAAATGCTTATGAGGGGTGTTACGATTAAACCAAAATATTTTGTGTTTTTAGCGAAACAGGTGATACATTCAGGTAGACGTTGTTGAAAAAACATATTCCACACATTCGACAAATTATGCATTCTCGCGCGACAAAAAAAATGCCGACAGAGAAATGTGTAATTTCCATGTTAGGTAAATATTTTGCCTTATCTTTATAGGTATAACAGTAAAATATTACTAGATATATTATTATAATGTACATTATTATAAAATGATGACTATATTACTTTGCTTATTATCTTATTTATCTTCACCTATAATAAAATCTAAGGGTCGTTCGGACGTGTAGGGAACGTTAAATATAACTCAACTAAACATAGTTTAGAATATCTTTGCAAAAGAAGCTTTTAATGTTTATAAACTGCACCAAAATCGGTTGATTGTTGATCAACACAAACGCATATACAAAAATTGGTGCCAAACACATTTCTAGCACGCATTCTTTTGACGTAGCGTCAGAGGCTAAAGAGTGGACATTGATTTTGATGTGTATTTTTAAAATTATCATACATTAACCAATTAAAATTTCAGATATCAATTGAAGTGAATACTTTTTATACGACTGCGGCGCCTAATTAAATATTTTCAATGAGCACAAAAATTCCATCCGGTTACTCGCGGCAGTATGCAATTTGGCGTTCTTTCATTTTTCGTTATTTAAGTACCTAAATATTCACATAAGGCGTATCTGACGACAGTTTAAAAATTAAAATAGTATTAATGCTTTTCGAAATAATATGCAATTGTTTTTCGAGTATTTTATCTTCTTTAAAAATAAAAAAGAAATATAACTTACTACGTCTGTATCCATCTAGAGCATACGCTGCTGCAAATTCAGATAAGTTGTATGTGGTTTCGTCAAAGAATTCGCTCAATGTGTAATTTTCAAAATTAAACGATTGCCATACCGACGAATACGTAATTTGTGGATTAGTCAGGCCATATTTCTGGAAATAAAAACTTTAATATGAATGCGCTTTATATACAGGGAAAAAATTATGATAAATTTTTATGACAACGCAAAAATTACAATTACCATTGTAAATGACTGAATTTGCCGTAGAAATCGGAGAATTTATTAGGTAACTTTTTTTACATTTTTTTTAAAAATTGTTTCAAGTTTTTTAATTATTACAATTTAATTTGTAATATCAACTAATGTACCTAGTAAATTTATTTTTGCTGGGATTTTATTTTTACAAATTC